CGGGAGGGATACCTCCATGCCCCCCCTGCGCCGCTAGGACATTACAGAGGGGCGGATAGAAGTGACAAGAAGACGAGGAAGAAGACGTAAGAAGATGCTGGATGACCTTGGGGACAGAAGAGGATATTCTCATTTGAAGGAGAACGCTCTAGATCGCATGAAGTGGAGGAACTGTTTTGGAAGAGACTGTGGACCTGTCGTCTGACATATTACTGATGAATGAATGAATGTATGAACGTTGTTCACATTAAAATACATTTATTTGAGAATAAAACTCTTTCTCCGTTCCCGCGCTATTTTCCTCTTGTGGCGTCCATGTTTGTGTCCTCTCGTGCGTGTGTTCCCACTAGTGGAGTGGGTCATATATATCGTATGACATTATACGAATTTCTCTTCAACAGGCAGTAGGATTAATGATTTATGTACACTTACCCCTTGAAATGGGAAGATGCTTATGAATGATAATTGTAAAACATATGGGAATTTGAGGTCTTGGTCTGTTCAAGACACTTTTCTCACATTTATTTGTTAGGAACTAGGAAACGCCACAAACAAATAAGAATTATAAATTACATTAAATAAACTACGACAAATACAGTAAGAATTATCAAATATGAAATGAAATGGAGGGTATAATTTTCTTTGCAGAATCTAACGGGTGTTCAGCCAGTCAAGACAAAATCCTCTACTCATATAAAGAATTTGAATTATTCCGAATAAACTGACGGTTCTGTGGAAGTAAATGAACATCATTCGCAGAGAAACGAGGTCCATTCATCATTGTTTAAATACGTGTCGCCCACTGGGGACAGAGATCGAGGAAGCAGGCCAACACGCATGAACGTATCTCTGTAACATGCGTCATGTGAAGTTGCAAAAGGACGTGGAATTGCTGTTCTGTGGGTTTGAATGCGCTTGCGCGTGTGAAGCCGACAGAGCCCATACGGACTTCCTCTTTACACCTTTTCACCAGAAAACTCTTTCCGCCATCCTATTCGAATTGAGTAAATTGCATAACGTTCTCCCTCGAATCCCAGGAGCCATTTCTCCCGAAATGGAGCAGTGTGAGTAGAATGGGACACCAAAAAGGAAATAAAACGTAGCAGCGTCGTCGAGCGTCTGGATTTAATAGAAAGTCGCATGTAAAGAATCGTGTCCCAATTGTAATCATGGAAAACAAGTTGGCGGTGATATGGCCAGACCGCAGCCTGACTGTGTGCAAAAGAGGCGTACGTTAAGTAAGCAATAATTAAATCTAATTAACTTGTGTAAACTTTCATTAGAATTCCGCTGTGACGTTAGTTTATGCGGTTTCTTCAAATAAAAATTGTAGAGGGAAGGAATAGGAAAGTGAGAAGAAAAGAGAATAAGTGAAGAAGAGCAAAAATGAGCAAATATCAGGAGGGAACGAAAGAGATGTAAAGACGTAGAGGAAGGTAAACATTTACAAAAAGTGAAGAGACAGGAAGAAAATAGGATTAAAAAGAGAGACAGACACGGGAGGGAAAGAGACATAAAGATACAGAGAAAGAAACATAGAGAAACGACGGTGAGAGAAAAAACTACAAAACAGGAACACACAGATGGGAATGAGAACAGAAAGAGAAAATGGAATAAAACAAATATACGAAGAGAAATAGAGAGAGAGAAATGAAATTTACCTTAAAGAATGAGTGAGCACGATCATCCGGAATGTCGACAATTTCAGCCATTTCGTTACATTATATAATTACACTGAAGATGGAAGCTCTATGTTCCTCCGAAATATCTGCTGCCCATATACCGGACTAGAGTATCATGACAAAAAGATCACAATATATATGGCTCTTAGTCACCACTGACTGTATGTCACACTGTAGTTCAGATAGGGGGACACAGGCGCTGCGTGAATGTTCACTCCTCTGCTTTGGCAAACAGCATGTAACTGATCATTCACGAATTTGAAAATGTCCTGTCCCAGTTTGCACCAAACCCTGTATCACTCCGCTCCGAAACAGAACTTCAGAACACGATCCGAAATGAAAATAAAAATTATAAGCAACAGGGAACTTCGAGAAACTTTCAACATAAAATAAATTACGTGAACAAGAATTTTTATAAAGACCATAAATATGCGACAGCTAATTTCACTTGAGGGGGGGGGGTACCGTTTTGGAAAAAGTGGGAAACTTGCTCTGAATTCGTAGATTTCAACATATTTTTCAGTAGGACAGTTTTATTTGGCGTCTCTACAAGCCTGCAAATGTCCTTTGTAGGATACAGTTGTATCGCTTATAGAGCTATACTAAAACTTACTGTAGGATCCTACCACAGTGTCCCAAAGCTTAGTTCAGAAAGCAATAATATTCATGTCATTTCTGTGGAAACACGTTCAGACATCCATGCTATTATAACCTTCTCCAAACAATGGTATTCATAACAACCAAGGAAAAATATTGGTGGAACCTGTAGAAAGCAGAAGAGAAATGAGTTTTCGCTTGTATGATTGACTGTATATGGGGTTTCTATTGATAATTGCCGGTCACGGTAGCCGAGCGGTCTAAGGTAT